AACATTATCCTGTCTTCAACGCTAGGTTGTACAGCTGTCATCCTAACAAACCTGTTCTAATCCTTTTCAAACAAAACTTATGTGTTCTAGCAGCAAATTGTTAAGAGCATGGTAAAGAATAGGCCTGCATTTTGAGATTGACAAATACGTAAAATACCACTGCATTCTGAGTTTAAATTTTCAAGACCAGATGAATTATTTCCCAGAATTAAGGGAACAACATGGTGATGTGGCTGAACTTTTACAGTGTGCATTAGATTTGAAAAATCCAATACTGTAATGCCAGTTGACCAGAGGGGAGCAAGCAACCCTACATTCAAAAAGAAGAGGAGGAAAATGCAGGAAACTAACACTGGGGGAAAATATGGAGCAAATTTTAAAGATACTGATTTGTATGCATCTTGAAAACAATGGGAAAATAATCATGACCTGCATGATCTATTCCAGTGTTTCTCAACCTTGACAATTTTAAGGCATGTGGACTTCACCTCCCAGAATTCCACAGCCAGCAATGCTGGCTGTGGAATTCTGGGAGTTGAAGTCCACATGCCTTAAAATGGTCAAGGTTGAGAAACACTGAATTCCCTCCTTGTTGTTTCTCTGAGTCTGTGCAGTAGAGGGCCAGAGGCCTGTTTTTCCGTGGAAGAGCGATTTGGCACCTTGATTTCCGAACAGAAGGGTGCGAGGAAATTGTGGCAAGGGAGCAAGATGCCTTGGCTTCTAGAGAAAGCTTAGTAAAGCTGAGGCAACTTGCCAATGGAAAACTGCCTGCTTGTAGCTCCAGTGTTAACGGTCCAGATTTGCTATTTGCAGCATTTCTCTGCAGTACTATAGTGGATCTGGACGTTAGGAGGCCCTGCTGGAGAAGAGCTGCAGAAGTCTAGTGCCTATGCCCACAGGTATGTAGGAGCGGTGGGGAAAACAATGATAAAAAAGTTTTCTAGTGGCACAATGAAAGTGTCATCCCTTTTGCATGCGCATTTCTTATAACGGCACAACATAGTTTTTGTCATTTTGACAAACACTTCCGATCCTGCAGTCCAGCCTTGAATGTCAGGATCCTGAGTTCTATTGGATGTTCTCTCTAGAAGAGAAAGGGGCAACAAGCTGCGGCTGCTTCTCTGGTTGGGTGACTGCCTCTGAAACAAATACAAAGGTATATCCTTCTAAAGCAGTATTTTTCAAACTTGGCATTCTTAAAATCTGTGTACTTCAACTCCCAGCATGCTGGCTGGGGAATTCAGGAAGCTGAAGCTGAACTTCACACATCTTAAAGTTGCCAAGTTTGAAAAACAACAGTTCTAAAGCATCCTTCCCCAACTTGGCTCTCCAGATGCATTGGACAGTTTTACCAAACTTCCAGCATCACCTGGAACAATGAATAAAATAAAATAAAAATATAGAGATATAGTGTTATTTTTGCATCAGCTTCCACAACTTTGGTTGGTGAATCTATATTGACTTACAATTTGTGGGGGAGACATGAATTGGGCAGGTGGGACATTCTAATCGTGTTATAGAGAAGGATTAAGTTAAAGGGAGATTATTCTGAACAAGAAAGAAAAAGTGTAGGTTTTAGTCCAAGTGTGTGTTATTTTTACAATTGATCCAATAGCTCTAAAGTATTAACTATTGTACAGCAAATGGGAAATTAGAAACTAAATATCTGTGACTTTTTAGCAGTTTTTGTGTTTGTTTTCTTAAATAACAATTACTCCACTTAACTCAGAGATTTAAATCTTTTCTTGTAATGAAAAAATTATGTACTTTGTTTATAAGATTAAATTCTCATCAACAATATACCGAGCACTAACTGCACAATAATTGCTTTGTCTACTTAGTTATTTTATTTCTGAATCAATTATTTCTTTCTTTTCTCCATTCCCTTGTTCATTCTTTCCTTTCTTTTTTTACAAAAAAATAAACCAATAGACACATTTTTAAAAATACATGGCATTTATATATTTGGCTTAATATTCATGATTTGTGCATATTCAAAAATCATTGAAATAGCTTGGTTTAAAAAAAAACTAGAGATTTCTTGCATTATGGAACTTTTGTTACATTTCTCTCTCCTGCACCCCATCCAATACTTACCGTTAAGTCTGCTCCAGTGAGACCCCAAGACCTGCAATATGAGTTCACTGCTGGGCACTAAAGAGAAGTATCAGAAAGGCAGCTGGTCAGAGTTCTAAGGTCAATTAGGAACTGTGCACATGCTAATAAACCCTTGACATCCTCTCAGATTCTATCTCTAAAGTACTGTAAGGCTACACCAACAATAAGCCTTAGCTTGATTTTTGGGGTAAGCCTAATATAAGCCCTATCCCAAAAATAAGCCCTAGTTGGGGGGCAAGGCACATACCTAAAAATCAAGCTAGGCCAGGGGTGGGTGTGTTGAGCTGCCCACCTGCCCAGCACCCACTTACCTTACAGCCAGGCCTCTCCTTGCTGGCCCACTTCTTCTTCTGAGGCCTCTTCTGCAGCCAGGCCTGCATTTCTCAGTCACAGGGCTTTCCAGAAGGCCTGTGCAGCCAAGAACCGAGCTATGGATTCAATCCATAGTTCAGTTCTGCAAGACCTCAGCAGCCAAGTACCAAGCTATGGATTGAATCCATAGCACGGTACTTGGCTGCTTAGGCCTTCTGGAAAGGCCTGACTGCAAAATGCAGGCCCGAATGCAGCTGCAGAACTTCGGCCCCAGAAGAAGTGGACCAGCTGGGTGGAGCGGTCAGTTCCGGAGGTAAGGCCTACCCTGGAAAATAAGACCTGGTGCCTCTTTTGGAGGAAATAAAAAATAAAAAAATAAGACCCAGTCTTATTTTCGGGAAAACACGATATTGACCACACAATTTAACATCTACTTGTACTGTATTTATGCCATTTGTCCTGACCTCGTATGATCTCAGTTTGATTGTCACTCACCAAGTTTACAGCTCTTTCAGAGTTTCTTGTGCATTGTGAAGTAACTCTTTTATGCAAAGCCACTCCTTTTTTCTCATTTAATTTTACTAATCTATACGGTCTCAAAAAAAAATCAGATGCAACTGAACAGATGAACACAGAGGCTGTTTTTTGACATTACCAATAACAGAAAGATCTTTTTTCATCACCAAGCCCTGCAAAATCATCTCCCTATGTAGACTTAAAAGCATGAAAGTTATGCATATGTGCCTTAGGCGTGTGGGGGTGCTTATTTCTCAAGGATAAAGGGAATGTAGAGTTTTTCATAGTTTGCAATGCACCCTGGTAAATTGCACCTGGCGTCGTGTGATAGCTGCGATCATATCCAAAAGTAGCTGTAGACTGGAATCTGCATGTGGTGGAGACTCAATAATACTACTTAACAAAGAACAGTTGTGCAATCCATTTGAAGTCTTTGCAATTTGCTTTTATACACATCCTCTTCATTCCCCCTGCCCCATAACATAGGAAATAAGAGACAAATGTTGAAATTTCTTCTACTGAAATATGATTCAGTAGCGTATTTTAATTAATAAATTTTCTACGTGCTAGGAACATTTGTTGTTGTAAGAAAAGTCCATTTGATAGCCCAATTCTAAAAATAATAGATTGAAATGCCTTTGTCTGCTTTGGGAAAAACAGTCATGCCAAGACATGCCACCCAAGAAATGAAGAATTTAACATTCAGATTCCAAATTGGAATTGGCTACGATTATAGGGCGGTTATAAACATTTTTAACAAAGAGGTCTTAGTCTGGTAAGCACAAAGAAGTTAAGGCTTAGATGTTTTCATCTAAACTTATCTGTCAAGTTGCAAATCCAGCAAAGCTGTAGTTGTACTCATTGTAATGCAAGGCAAGTCCAAGCTTCTTAGAACATGTCTAATGAGCCAGTCCTTTATTATCTGTGCAAAAGTCCCCCTTACAAAATAAATTTAGGAATTAAATTTAGAGAATATTGTTGTGATGCAACTTAATTCTTTGCTATTTCAATCATTTCTCCACAACAGTTTTTTTTTTTCTCTCTGCTCGAGAAAATTGCTTTCTGAAACAATGTTTTTCAGACATCTGTGTTTTGCAGCAGGGATACAACAGTTCTAGTCTATAGCCATGATTGCAAGTCTTCACCATTACAGACTGTTGTGAAACTGGTCCCTTGAAGGTGGAAATTCTGAAGGTAAAAAAATTAGATAAGAATATTTCAAATGGCTTCGGGAAGATTTTAGCAGATCATATTCATCTCCCCTCTGCAGTTTGGCAGAGGCTTTGAAAGCTTTCTTCCCTACTTCTCCTTATTGCAAAAATTACTATTGTGATGAAAATGTGAATAAGCATAAGTTTTTAGCCTTGAAATAAATACGTATAACAGGATATTTGTTACTAGACAAGAGAATATACTAATCATAGCAGTGAAAGATATTCTTGCACATAAAGAGATCCACATGTGTGTGGGCTGACCTATATTTACTAATATTAAAGAAGCCTTGTCTACTCCAGGTAGTTGCCAAGAGAAAAAAGTGACTTAAAGCACAAAAATAAAACAAACAAACAAAAAAAAAGAAATGTTACAATTATTGAGTTTGGGAAAATATAGAATAAACTTTCCCAATTTGGTTCATTCCTGATGTTGTAAATGCATGATGTTAACTCTGGAAGTAGCAGTTCCAATACACAGAAGGTGTATAACTGGAAAAGAGGAAATATACTACATAAATATCAAAGCCTCATTTTTTTTGGGGGGGGGATTGTGCTTAATAGGTAATTACAAATCCTTCAATTTTTTTTCTCAAGACATTAGGCTATAAAACTTTTCATTAGCCTTCCACTGAGAATTTTTCTTTTAGCTGTCTCTGGACCTAGTGCAGCTGTGTGACAAATGGGTTTTGTATGCATGTGCTCTCTCTCACATACTCACCATGTCATTATACTTCTTAAAGCATCCTCCAATTCTCCTTAATTAGTCTAAATATAGGAAGGGAGAATGCAGCATAGAAGATATCTGGACCTGTCTCAGAAATGATACAATTCACATATTTTGCAGTGTTTGCCATCATAGTTTTTAATCACAATTAGAAAAGAGTTGCATCCCTAGTGATGCAGCTATCAACATGTGATGGAAAATTCCATACAGTATCTGCTAAATTTTAGACATGTTTGGCAGCTTAGCAAATATCATATGATTGCAGCATCCATGATTTAAATTGCAACAGTCATGTCTTTTCTTCTACAAAAAGTGTCTTTCCAACTATGATGCTACACACATATAGTTCGTGGCCTCTGGACAAGATTATCACAATTAGACAATGGTCTCTTTTGAGTTCCTTTTGACTGAATGCAGGCCCAGCAAGGACTGCTGGGTAGAAGGGATGCTGACAGACTTTGGGATGAGAAGGATAACTCTTTGATTGGTCCGACGCCATTCATTGTATAATCTACAGTGATACCTAAAGGATACCTGCAGGAAAATAAAGAGAAATATCTATGGTTAAGATGACTAGAGAAACACACTCAGAAGAAAAGTCAAGAGCCTTTTAATACAAATTGCGATATTGTGCCTCAACCTGAATGGTTCTCTTTTAACTCCAGTTCTTCTCAACTCAACATGCACTTCAAGGAAGTCTTGAAAGGATTTAAAAATTCAGTTTTTCAATCTGCTTCTGTAATACTTAATCTAATTTTCCTTTTCTATAGCAGCTAATGGAGCTAAAAGATACTTGGTAATAGGTCAGTCTATTTAGGATGACTTTGTAAATAATTTCAGTGAATTCAAGAACTGTACTCTGGACTCAGTTTTTTTTTAAAAAAGTTGATAGTGTGGAGTATCATCCCTTTTAAAAATATGTTACCTTGCTATGCAACAAAGTAAAGCAACTTTCTTCAGATTGGTATTTGGATTATGCAGTAATATGTTTGGCAATGTCTTTCTTTGGAAATATCCAAATTTTATTTCAGACGGATCAATATATTGGGATAATAGTGACAACATAGTTAGGAAGTAATATATCTAATAACCCATTTGTAAGGAGATTTAAATGATCAGAGTTCTTTCAAGCTGTTGTGATAGTATTTTTTATGATGGCCACTGGATTTTCAAATTCTTCTGATTGGATGTGTGATAGTGGTGACAGAGGAATAGTAGGCAGATTCCACAATGCCATTTCCTGTCAGCTGTCCGTGCCCAGGATAGGAGAAGGTAAGGACTATTTATAAAACTCACTGTGAAGGAACTAATTATTGTGTATCAGTTCCAGGGCTGGTGTGACTAAGAACTCCCTTCAAGAGGAGATATCAGGAACATAGAAAAAGTGTAGCTTTACAGAACCTTAGCTAGCTGTGGAAGACTCTGTTTTCATTACCCATGCCCACTAGTGGAACAATAATACCACAGGCTATCTACATTTATGGGCTTTTCCTTAAGTTACTAAGATTCTTTCCTAGAGTCCCTCTCTTTATAGAAAGGATAGGTTTTCCAGCAGTTTTTGCATTATAAGCCAGGTTCTCATTGAATATTTAAGGGATTTTCACAGGATAACATCATCCCATTAGGTCAGCCCATCTCACCTAGTCAGGCAGGGAAGATAAATTGTGGATCTCGTCAGCCAAAGAATTCTGACTGGCGGGGTCCAGGAAGAGAGCCTTCTCTGCCCTGTGGAAAACTCAACCTGGAAGTGAGGCAGGGCCCCACTCTCCTGGCTTTCCAGAAAGGCATGAAAACATGGCTCTGTGGCCTTGCTTGGGACACACAGATGAGCACACAACTGGCAGGTTAGTTGGTGCCCTGAAAGGCCTCCCCACACCTTTTAATCAGTTTTTGACATTCCTTGCCTCTTTTAAATTTTACATACTGTTTTTTTATGCTTTTGATATTTTGTTGTACACTGCTCAGAGGCCTTCTGTAAGGGAGATGGGCAATTCTTATATATGACAAATAAACAAACAAATAAATAACCTAGTTAAGCCTGGTAGGCTGTTTACAATGAGTTCTTGCCTACAGCCAATGCCTAAGCCAGTGTTTCTCAACCTTGACAATTTTAAGGCATGTGGACTTCAACTCCCAGAATTCCACAGCCAGCAATGCTGGCTGAGGAATTCTGGGAGTTGAAGTCCACATGCCTTAAAATTGTCAAGGTTGAGAAACACTGGGCCCTAAGCAATGTCAGCTACGGTACTCAAATTCAGAAGCTCAACTTTGCATTTTGTAAGGAAAGTCTTCAGTTAACAGGTTGCAACGTTGTCAGTTGATAGCAAAATTGTGTAAATTCCACAACCATTTTCTAAACCTTTTGGGTTTTCTAAAAACATTTTGACTAAACATTTTTGTAAATTTATAAAATTAGTTATAAAATTCAAACTCCCTATGAAAGCAGGATCTGTTCTTCATCATTTTGTTAAAAAAAAATCAGAAACTTGGATCCAGGACCCTTCCTGCCTAGAACAGAGATGAGATTTGTTCATTGATAATGAAAACAATGCTTAGATTCATTTAAAGGGGTAATCAGCAGTCTTTGAGAAAAACAGGGTCTTATTTAGGAACGACAGAAAATAGCTCCTTTGAAATGTATGGATCTCTATTCTGAAAATAATTGCTCCACTAAATTCTTACATAATTGAGATACAGCAGTGTTACTCATCCAGATGGCAGGGTTTCATTTCTACATGGCTTAATAGAAAGGCCAATGTGAAAAAATGATAACCGCCCTAAAGTATATCTTATGAAAGACAATGTATTAATCAACAATATGTAATACCACTGCACTGTACATCACAACACTCAACATCTCTGGAGTTCTGGACTATCTATGGTGAAGTCTCAAAGCCAAATTATGCCATAAGCAAAGACTGTAAATATAGTTTAATTAGGTGAGTGGATTCAGCCAAGCATCATGGATTATAAGATGTATTAGGTTCAGTTAAGCTGATGCAGGTTGCATATTTGATACATTTTCAACCCTTTACTTGTGGTAACATAAACTGCAATAAGGCTACTAAGAAACTGCAACTATTAGAATCACATTTGAAAACCAGCAGCCTGAATCAATATCAAACTTAACTAGAACTTAAAATCTAATTGTTTTATATAATTATTTTAGCAATCTAAGTTTGAGCTGAAACTGAATAAGATTCATCCGAATTGTGCCCAACCTCCTGTCCTACAGTTGTTATTAGTGGATTGAAAATGGACAATAAAATGACTTCTTTAAATGAAAGCAAATGTGTTCAAATAGTATGAACAGTCCGATGTTTTTTTGTTTGCCTGGAAAAAAAAACTAACAGGACTGTAAGGGCTACTATACCATTTCAGTATCAGACCCTGTGCAATTTTGCACAGACTTATGCCATTGTATTAAAAAAAAATCATGATTTGGGGTCCTAGCATGAGGTAATGAAGTATAATCCAAGCATATTGCAAAACTGTTATGCGGCAATTGGTTGAATAGAAACTGGATTGGGATTTAATGTCAGTCAGTCTGTCTGTCTGTCTGTCTGTCTGTCTGTCTCTCTATCCATCCATCCATCCATCCATCCATCCATCCATCCATCCATCCATCCATCCATCTACCTATCTACCTATCATGTATCATCTCCTATTACACTAAAGCCCTGTTGTTGAAACTTTTAAACTTCTTTTCTGAGAGCACATTGCCTCATTAATACAGTCCATTCCCACTGAAAGGTTCTCCCATCTGGCAAGCAACATAAACCATGCACCTACCATGCCCCTGAAACTGTATATTCAATATACTGATGTTTGGTTTAGGCTTATCACCTCCCCATGTATGTGTAAAGCAACACTCCTGGATGAAAGGCATTTTTAATGATCAGAGATAATTTAAGTTATACTCTGTACTGAAGTTTGCAAATTAAGATCCTTATCATTAAATAAATCCTCAGGTGCCTCCCTAACCTCTCAACTTTCCCAAAGGGATTTGAGAAAGCTGTAGGAAGAGGACAGCAACAGGAAATTTCCAAAGCTTGATGAAAAGGACCCTCATGGGCTGTTGAATTCAGCTCTCCAACTGTAATTTAAAATGGGTATTTATTTGGGTAGCAATTAAGAGACAATAAAATATGGTCATGGCATACTTTCCAGAAAATATATCTCCTACATACTTCCTAATAGGAAATATAATTTGGGATATATAACTTTTAAAATTTGTCCTTTTTAGTATATCATATATTGTTTATCTACATTTATGTTTATGTACATTTGTTGACTGTAGCAGCACAACAGGAGAACTGTACCAGATAATATAAATAATGAGAAAGACATTAATATAGTCTGCCTATTATTTTAGTCAGAGTAGAACTTATCTTGCAATTTTTTTCTGGAAGACTGACTCTGCATATGTTATGGAAATAACATACAGTAATTTTATTGAAACTAAAGGAAGTTTCCAGTCAAAAACTATTCCAGTAAAAAATTGGTTTGAGCAGTTTCCCCTAGTACAATTGGTTTGAGCAGTTTCCACTAGTTGATTTAAATAGACATTTTATTTATTTAATAAACATGTTTTTTTTACCAACTCGAATCTAAGAGACTCTAGATGGTATATACTACAGTAGATCATTAATAATGCTCCTGCCATAATTTCTCCTAAGGGACCAAAGAAAATGATTTCTGGTGCTCTTTAAAATGTCAGAAGAGAAGGGACGAGGCACGCATTTCTCAACTAAACTGAGCCATCCTGTATGTTCATCATAGATCGGAGAAGCCCCAGGGACTCTGTGTTTCCATTACAGGACTTACAGAACAGCATCCCTGACAATGTTATACTTGTTCTTACTGTGATGGCTTTCCAGAAGTCTTAAAGACTGGATTTTTCCCCGAGAGTTTTTTCTGGCTGAATTTAATCGTACTGGTGATTTTTGACAACAAACTTGAGAGTTTCTTATACAAGTACTGTTGTCATTTAGTATTAGTATTTTTTTCTTTGTGAACATCTTAACACTATTGTCATAATGCCTTTTATCCTGCATGTTTTACTGTAATACATTTGTGTAATCCTATGGATGTTTTAATTTCATTTGTCTGCCTGAAGTTGGCAAGATATACATTTAATAAACAAATACATAAATAATGTGGCAGCCATTACTGAGAAGAGCTGCCTTCTGATCTATATTCCTTGGGCACAACCTCTCTTGATGTTTAGACTGCAGAAGGATTTATGGGTGATAATTAGCACTATGCTCAGACTAACAGTAACCGGTGCAGTGATCACAGAATAGGAGAGACTCTGCAATAATAAGATTCTCTTGTTAAGAGCTTGGCTGCTGCATTCTCTACCAGTTGCAGCTTCCAACTGCAAGCCCTGAAAGGCAGACCCATATTAAGTGTGTTGCAACACCAAAGTGCATGATCTCTCTTGCTGGATGACAGTGTGTGTGATATGTATGCATGGGTACTGTATATGTATATACACACATATTGATAAACTGAAATTAATCTTGAACTGTGGTTAGAACATTATTTTGAAACTAAAATCCTTCAAACAAAATGTTCAAAATCTTCTGATATTTTTCTCCAAAGCTCTTGATTTTGAAAGTAATGGGGTGTTTTTTTCCCTTAAAATTCCATGCAATTAAATCACAAGTATTACTGAAATATTAACCCATCAAATTTGTTGTATTTGAAGTAAAATTAAACATGGTTTTTCAGATTAGCATTTATGGACCTGAATGGTAGAAGCTAAACCTTTTCATTTTATTTCCACATGAAACACAACAAGTCTCTAGTCTGGAGGAAAGACTGTCTTGATGTTCATAAAAAATAGGGCAAATAGATTCAGCCAAAATCAATTTACCTCTTCCAACAATAAAAGGAAGAAGATGTTCCTAAGGTTGAAGACATGTGGAAAGCTGGAATGCACATAACTGTAAAGCAATCCACACATGCAAGCAGACTTAGGGTAGAACACATTATTTTACCTGCTTCAAAATGTATGCATGGAATTGCTGTCAGAAATCTTGTTCTATAGTGCTATTTTTTCATACTTGGCAAGTTTTAAGATGTGTGGACTTCAACTTGAAGACATCCCCAGCCACCATGATATGAAGAAAGCTATAATCCACACATCTTAAAACTTGCCAAGTTTGAAAAATACTGTTCTATAGCAGTGATGGCAAACCTTTTAGAGACCGAGTGCCCAAACTGCAACCCAAAACCCACTTATGCATCGTCGGGTGCCGGGTGGGTGTGGCCCATTGGCTGGGTGTGGCCAATTGGCTGGGTGTGGCCCATTGGCTGGGCGTGGCTGCGGTGGTAACAGCAGACTGGGTGGGACTAAAGTTCAATCAATCAATTCCAACTTTGCAAGATCTTTTTTTTTCCCACGAGAAGTTGAAATTGACTGATTGATTGAACTTTTTTTTTTTTGCACACGGCGGCGGAGGTCTAAAGCGAACAGGTTTTATAAAACCCAGCTGAAGGCCTAGGACTGGGGCGACGGCGCTCGAGCCCACAGAGAGGGCTCTGCTTGCCACCTGTGGCACCCGTGCCATAGGTTCGCCACCACTGTTCTATAGCTTCTTTCAATTTTCTTTACATCCATTCCATATGCAGGATCCTTTTCAAACAAGTCATTTTCCCATATGACTTGGACACAGTGTCATGAAGTAGATCAAAATGGAGATTCTAAATAGGACTCTCAGATCTGGAAAGCAAAAATACAGATGACTACTGGGGATAGCAAAAGGTTAATAGCTTTTTATAATACTCTGTTGCTATCTGGGGACTATGTGGATTTTTGTCATCCAAATTTCATAGACTTATTATAAAGATTTCTTCAGTGCCAAAAATTCATAGAAGGATCTTATAAGTTCACATGCTTTACAAGACAGAAAACAAGAGTATCAAACAGCATTATGAATGCTGAGTAAAACAAATGTGGTCCATCTAGTATGAAATGCTTTAATTTATACAGATGTGCTGTCAATGAATTCCTTTTTCTATCAGGAATATTCATCTTATTCAAAGGTTCTTAAAATAAATGCTAAAGTGCATGCAGTTTTGATAAAGAAACCATAATAGGATTGAAAAACAATATAATGAAAACATATAGAACAAGACCAACCAAATGTGCACGCTATTTTTTTCATTCCAGTGCTCTCCAATTAGAGACAGCACAAGAACTACTAAGAGCAAAAGTAGAAATTAAAGATGGAACATATTATTTGGGATTGAACTAACACATTTGCAGCTTTCTTTCTTTTACAGATTAGAGAAAACTGCAAACACCAAGTATCAGAAAGTTGGTGACCTTCCAAAGCTAGCATATATTAATAACAGTTCAGTGAAACAGAAATTGCAGAAAACTAAGGAATTGGAAGGTATGCATAAGAACAAAGGAAAATAATTAAGAATGAACATTGGGGGGAAAACACTGCATTTCTACTCAGATGTAAATTTCTTTGAGCTTAATGGAGCTTAGTCCCAACTAAAAATATTTAGAATGGCATTTAAAAATAAGGAAAACAAGGAAAGGAGAAAACAGATGAGCAGAAGTTTACAATCATAACAAGAGAAACAAGAGAGAGACCATTCCTTGCTGTTGAAGATTATGCGGTGGTTGTTTGAATAAGAATTTTCCATCCTATGTCAAGATAACAACACAATTTTTTGTAGTTTAGTGGCTGCACACTGCTGAAATCAATAATGAAAGTAGCATCTTTTGGGGGGGGGAGATTAAGTAGAACATGTTTCCTTTTTTTTATGGAGAGGAGGGCACTTCTGTTTACTATTTTTCAAGTCTGACTTATGTCTAATGATGTCTGCGCAGTAAGGATACCTTCTCCCATGAAGCTGCACACTGGAACCTGTTCTTGATGGCTGCTGGACCACAGCAGGCATATCTGGGGAAGCACAAGCATGCAGCATACTTGACAGGAAAGGAAAGTCTTTTGGCACGAGTGGGAGTCATGGCACTAGATGCAGTTCTTTTTCTTCTTTAGTTTTTCCTATATGAGTACTCAACTCGAAAGTGAGGTTGACTAAAATCTATATAAAAACGTCTACCCTATAATGGTATTACATGATAAAGGACAATAAGTAAAAAAGTGGTTTTCTTTTCTTTATGAAAGCATCTGTGGAGTTGATGCATCTCTGCTATAGGAACCACCGCTTCTTTCCTGCAGATGCTTTTCAACTGGGAAGATTGACTGCATTCTCTTCACACTTGTTCAGCAGGGAAAATCAATCAGCCCATTTTAAGTAATTCAGCAATTCAAAAAGGATCACATTCTCAATTCGTCCTCCATATTTGAGACATCTGGATGTCTGGAGGAAGAAAGACAGCCCGTGTTTCAAAATATATTAGTGTACAAGGTTACAAGGCAGAAACTGTTAAGTGGTGTCTAACATAGCTTTCTCACTCAGGTTTAACTAAAAGCTCCAAACTTGTTATTCTGAAATCTACTGAGCCTTGAAAAGTGTTTATTACCAATCGCGAAGGAAAAAGACAGCTCAGATCTTTCCTACTATAGCTTGTTCAGAGCACTATAGTTTGTTAGTCCTGAACAATGTCCACAAAAGTTTATTTAGGAAAGATGAGCAATGTCTCAAGTTTCTGGTCTGGAGGTAAATGCAGGTGTCTCACAATTCACATTAGAATGAGAAGCAGGCTTGTATAAGATGAATCTCTCATCCCAAACTTAGAGAAAACAAAGCATGCTGGGTAAGATTTCAGAGATTTACCTTCAGTCTGCCCATTATTAGTGCCAAAAGAGAAAGGAAATTTGTTTTATCTTTTCCTTGCTGCATAGATACGATGTTGATGATGTTTGCAAATATTTTGCTACCTATTTTCCCTGCACTGTTTTATTTTATGATGGTTTCCCCCCCACCCTCATTTACTCATTGTAGTCTGGCTAAAGTCTCTTCATTAGGCCTTTCCAAATACTGGCTTGGATCCAAAGCCATCTGTCTACAGATGGAAGACTTTTTAATCTAAACAATGCATCTAATACCACAGACCAATTTCTGTGGTAGAAAGGGAAGAGATACTCTTTGTTAAATATGTCCTCATTCTGAAGTCTTTATAATTTCTAACAATATGTTCTGTAGAGGAGGGATGGGGGAATGTTACAAAATAATTCTGCCATTTCTCCCAGCCAAGAACATTCTAAGAAGAACTACTATATACTATATATTCTTTTAATGATCCTGCAATCCCTTACTTTGGGGTGAGGTTGGGGCAACTGATTGGAGCTGGGCATTTACTGGCTGGATGCCCTTCCTGATGCCTGCATAAAGTTCACAGCCGACAATTATTCACTGCGCCCAGAGAGAGAAGTATCTGCTGTCAACTAGGATCGAATTCACAGCTGCCTAAGTGTGAAGCGAGAGTTCTACCTCTAGGCCAGGGCTTTTCAACCAGTGGTACGGGTACTACCTGTGGAACACTGGCACCTGGCAGGTGGTACGTGACCATCCTAGAAAAGTGGTAGCGGGGAGGGGAATGAGCTGAACCGGTGGCAGCACCGCAAAAGCCTGAGCGAGAGATGGCTGGAGCTGCAGGGCTGTCAGGGCTCAGCGGAAGCACCAGGATCAGTGCCAGGCTCCAGCTGGAGCTCAGCGCTGATCCTGGTGCTTCTGCTGAGCGCAGAAGCGCCGATCAGCTGGAATGTTGCAACATCTCCAGGGTCTTATGATTTACATTCAGATGCTTGGCAAATGATTCATATTTATGACGGTCAGTGTCCCAGGGTCATGTGAAGTGACCAAAACCTGCTGCAACCACCCAGCAGATGGAGGGAATAAAAACCAAACACCCCCCACCCCACCCCCGCTGCCAATCCTTAACAGAAATGCTCACAACAATGAAAACCTCGGACAGGAGGAAGAGTGACGCCGGGCGGGGAGGTATCTTGCTCGGCAGGTGTCTTGCTCGGCTGTGGTTTGGGGGGCACTTTTTTCAGTGCCATTGTAACTTCGAACAGTCACTAAGCGAACTGTTGTAAGTCGAGGACTGCCTGTACTTTATTACTTTTTTCCTTTTTTTTTTTTTTTTTTTGGGTCATCAAGTTTTTGACACCTTGCTAGGCGACTGGTGGTACTCGGATATTGCCATATCCTAAAAGTGGTACAATGGGTGAAAAGGTTGAAAAGCCCTGCTCTAGGCCACCAAGATGCTCACAATTTCAAGATATATTATGAAGCTGTTATTCAAATAAAGAAGTTTGATCTTTTCTCATACAATAATAACTGTCATCAGATGTTCCCAGAATAACATTGTAAGATTTATCATACTCTAATGTAAATAGAAGTCGAAACAAAAGACTACTTACTAGTGTCCAAAAGAGGTAAATTGTGAAGAGTGCGACAGTGAGTGCAATGAGCCCAACAGCTTCTAGCCTACTACTAAAGTGCAGATGGTCCACTGCTCCCCGCAGACACAACCAGCCGGAGATAGTAGCCAATGGAGTTATAAACAAGAAGCACACCATGTCCCCAAACAAAGTCCGTTTCTCATGTTGGGGGCCAGGATTTTTTAGCCACTGCAGAAAGAATCAATGCATAGTCAGTCTCAACAAAAGGTATTCATTCAACTAAAGAAACCATTTTCTATCACTTTTATACAATGTTATGTTTTAATAAACAGTAGAAGTAAGTCACATAAAATAGAAATTTATTAAGCAGAGCTGCTTCTGTTTTTCAGCCAGTATGAGGTAGGACTCCACTTTGATCCTCTATTTATATTACAGCAAAGTATTTCCATTTGCTCTTTCATATTTGGTATATAATATTTTCTAAAACTCTAAAATTATTTTAATATTGCTAAATAAATAATAGTATGCAGAGTGTATAATGCGAAACAGTATGCCAAGGTTAGTCAATAAGTGCTTATTGATAGTTCTTCCAGTAAATATAATAATTTGTGGATCATAAGATGTGTCTATATTTATAAAATTGTGAGCAGGTATGGATATAGATTCAAGGAAGAAACAATACAGATATTTACATTTTGACAAGCCCATGGGGAAAGAAAGGAGAGAGTAAGCCATGTTTGTAAAAAAAAAAAACTACTAAAACATCTATTTGCGTAAAACAAAAGGTAATTATTGGAAAGTTACAGATGATAAAGCTTGATTTTATAGTGCAGGAACACTTTGACAACAGCTTTTTTTTTTATCAAGTTTGGGTAGGTTACTTGTACTACCACACACAACATTCTATTCTTTTATTTTTTTTATCAAAAATCTTATACATGTTTAATCACAGATACATTTTACTCCTTTCAATTAGGTCTTATTCTCAGGCATATGTACATAAGATTACAGCCTTGTATTCTTTGATTAAGATCCATATTTGTATGAATATAGAAGGACTCCTACTGAGTAACTGCAAATTATGTATTAATTCTTGTAATTTATTCTAATCTTATACTTCATTAATATCATGTTCCAATCATGGTGCTGGCAACTCATACAGACCTCAGATTCAAAAGATTATCACTTTCGCTTCTGTGAACCAACCCCCCCCCAAAAGTAGAAATAAACACTAAATTATTGTAATATAGGTGTGTTTGGTGATTTTAAACTTTGTTTACAAGCAATGTGAACACCCAATTATGTGAAATGTTCAAAATAAAGAGGAACAGCAAACAAGGCCAAAAATACTTCTGAAAACTTTTATGGATTAGCATAAAACAATTATTATGTATCTTAAAATATGCAAGAATAAAGTGAAGCAAAATATTCTAACTTCATATAGCCCATATATAAATGGATGGAGATTGAGTAGACACAGACTGAATAAGAAAGCAATCACAGAGGATAGGTGAACAGCTCAGTAAAAATATCAGTATGATATAGGACCAGTGCTTTTTTTGTAAAAAAAAAAAAAAAAAAAAAAAAAAAAAAAAAAAAAAAAAAAAAAAAAAAAAAAAAAAAAAAAAAAAAAAAAAAAAAAAAAAAAAAAAAAAAAATTTTTTTTAAAAAAAAAAAAAAAAAAAAAAAAAAAAAAAAGGTGCCGGAACTCACACACGTCATACAACCCGCCTTGCCTACCCTACAAGGTTCCATCCAAAAAAGGTGCCGGAAATCCGTTCTGGGTGTTCTATGACAAAAAAAAAGCCCTGTATAGGACTGTTTTAAAAAAGCTAAACCCAAGCTGAGATCAGTAGGAAAAGAATCACAAGATTAAATTTCCAATATTGCAATGCCTTTTAAGAAGTTGTTGATGATGGGGTAACACTTCAAATATTGTGCACAGTTCTGATCATCACACTTCAACTATAGAGAAAGTGGAAAAGAATAATGAAAAGCCACACACAGCTGTGGAAAGACTCCCCTGTAACCAAATAGAACGGTTGTGGCTCAATATTAAGAATAAAGAGGGATACAACAGACATATATAAATTTATCCTTGGGGTGATAAAAATGCTGCATTAAATCAATCTAGATGAATCCAATCTCAGTAATGTATGTGTTGTGCTCATCTGAGAACTTCTGAAGTAGTCAGTTTCATACTTGACAATTTCTTGAAAGTTATGTAGTCACTGTTCTGAATTCATTAGTTGCTGCTCTTTGTACAGCCTCATATAAATAGAACTACGTCACTTAAATAATTACAAATTCTCTGTACAGGTGAATATGGGAAGCAAACTGCATTGAAAGGCTATGTATCTTGAGATGGTATCAAGAAATAGGAAAACTCTTTCAGTGTCTTGAACCTTGATTCACTCTTTTGCAAAACATGCCCACTATTAGTTGTTCTAGTCACTAAATAATGATCAGCATGCATTTGGTGCATGAATTGTTTTAAGGGTTACTTCCGCAACACTTCTAGGATTTTAAAATCGATTTTGTAGAGTTTAAAAGAGCAAAAACGGTGACTACCTTTAATAGTATTATTGCACTTCACTTTGTGCTATTATCTGAAGGTTAGTTAAAGAAGCAAAGCAGTTGTGAAGTAGATATTTTAAAAGTAGAAGCAAGGATATTATATTACAGACAAATAAAACTCTCACTCAGATTTCAAGGCACTGTATAAAATGATTCAGGACTCTGTCGTAAGGATTTATCTCATTTCCTTAAAAACATACTGCTGAGGATAGTAACTGGATATGGCTGCTGCAGCAGTCCCAAGTACAACTGAGTTACTTCAACACATGACTGTCTTACAACTTACACCTTGTAATGAGAAACCAAAAGACAACCGAGAGGAAACAGAAATGCTCAGAAGAAAATAGGGAAGAACACCAAAAGTGACATTCAAAGATTAGTGTACGAGAAAATATTTGACATGCAGACATTCATTGATCACTGTATGAATTGCAGGTACAATGGAGTTTAATTCACTGGGAAGTCTATACTGTACTGTATTCAATCCCATTGAAAGGCCTTTCATTCTCTGATCTCTTACTTCCAAATCTCTTTTATTCAATCCACAAATCACACTTTTATATGCAAAAGACTGGGGTGAAAAGAACTGCATTTTGACTACTCTAATTATTTTCCCAGTTTGGATTGAAAGGCCACATGGTGTACTCTGAAAATGAACCTCTAAACCAGTAGTTCTCAACCTTTTTAATGCCGCGACCCCCAACCGGTCGTAGGTCGAGGACTAAACCGGTCGTAAGTCGAGGACTAAACCAGTCGTAAGTCGAGGACTACCCAACCGGTCGTAAGTCGAGAACTTTCCCTGCCCGGGAGCGCCGTGCATGCGTGGTTCCGCCCCCTGCACCGGCCGAGGCATAGCTGGCAAGCGGCAGAGACAGAGCAGGCCGACCACCAGCTGGCCCAGCCCAAGGGAGGTAAGGCACCCGCCGGAAAAGGGAAAAAAATGGTGGACAAAAAAAATGGTGGACAAAAAAAATGGTGGACAGCCTTGCTTGGCGACCCCCATGAAAAATGGTGGACAGCCTTGCTTGGCAACCCCCATAGGTTGAGAACCGCTGCTCTAAACATTCTTTTTTTAAAATTACAAGACCTGGGCTGCAGAAACTATGAGTCAGAGTTTTCCATTTCTCTTTCCTCCCATCTAGTGGTCATCTGGATTTTTGCAAGCCAGATTTGGTATTCTAGTCTCTCTGTTGCTGCCAGACCAATTTCTCTTCAACTATAAAGTTCACATCAAGCATAATAATTTATTATTAGGTATCAGAGGCAATGTGAAAATTGTTTTTTTCTATGATCCCTTCAATATAGTGCTGTTGATTTGAGGTACTTTCACCTCTTGTAATGGTGCAAATCAATAGGCTCCACTTCCCTGATCCCTATCATTTGTCCTGCAATGACCATAGATAATTTAAAATCATAACACTATTTCCACAAACTTAAGTCATTTTTCTAGATATACAGGCTAAAGTCGCTCAAGTCCCTGGCCTATTCAAGCAGCACCATCTTCATTGAATCATTAAGTTCAATTTCCAGGCTGGGCACAATTTTTTTTATACCTTCAAAAAATAAATCTACATTTTGCTTTCAATTAAAATGAATGCAATGTTATATATATCCATTATCCCAACGTGGCATGTACTGTGTTTTTCCTGCATGTTTCTATTTGACATCTAGTTCAAAATATATTCTCAACTGATTTTTGCAAAAGAAAAGTGTAGAACTGGCATTTGTAGGGATGGACACCTATAGAAATAATTAAAGATATATAGAAAATGTTAGCGAGCTTGGTGATCTGTTTAGCCTGAAATATCACATAAATGGATGTAATTTCCCCCCCCCTTCTTTCTGAATGCTTGCTTAAGTAGAAATGGTCTTGCTTAAGTGGAAATTAGTGGAGCAGGCAAGGCAGGAACAGGTAGTTTTCAATCTTCATAACAAATTTGCAATAATAACGTTCCATTCATTCAACCAGTCAGCAGTTTGAGATAGTATTTGTGTTTCTGCCATCATTCTACATTGGGGTAATCAACTGCACATTCCATACAGTTCATTTAGGAACTATATTTCTGTAATGTACTTTGGAGCATATGCTCATTAACTTGATTTTGGAGATACTGATGATCCAATATAGTATAGCAAGCCCTTCTTAATATTTTACTACATACCCAGACTTCAATATCTGTCATATGGTATGAAAGAAGATGTATAAAAGATGTAGAGTAAATTAAGTGTTTTAATGTACCACTCTACAATGCCTTGGTAAGGCCACACTTGGAATACTGCATCTAGTTTTGGTCACCACGATGTAAAAAAGATGTTGAGACTCTAGAAAGAGTACACAGAAGAGCAACAAAGATGATTAGGGGACTGGAGGTTAAAACATATAAGGAAAGGTTGATGGAATTGGGTATGTCTAGTTTAATGAAGAGAAGGACGAAGGGGGACATGATAGCAGTGTTCCAATATCTCAGGGGCTGCCACAGAGAGGGAGTCAAGCTATTTTCCAAAGCGCCTGAAGGCAAGACAAGAAGCAACGGATGGAAACTAATCAAGGAGAGAAGCAACCTAGAACTAAGGAGAAACTTCCTGACAGTTAGAACAATTAACCAATGGAACAACCTGCCTCCAGAAGCGGTGAATGCTCCAACACTGGA